GCATTGAAAGGCCAGACATAACACACAAAAAATACAACCCAACAGAATCATATCAGTTTATACTTTTTGACTTAGAAACTTCTGGCACAGGCAGAAATGCAGAAATATGTCAACTATCAGCAATTGCTCAAACTGGTGCAACATACTCTTCATACATTATACCTAATGGAAATATTAGTTCTGATGCATCAAGAGTCAATAAGCTTACGGTTGAAACTATAAAAGGAACAAGATTTTTATGTAAAAACTCACTTCCTGTTAAAGCAGTGTCACTAAAGAATGCCTTACCTTCTTTCAACAAATTTATACAAGATTGTTGCATGAATTCCAGTAGTACCAAATCTGTACCAGTCCTCATTGGCCACAATGCAGCTGTCTTTGATGTTCCAATACTTCTATGTTGTACCGGAAAATCATACGACGAGCAGCTTGAACGGATGAATGTCCATTTTGGTGACAGTTTGCCACTGATTAAATCTTTAGTGCAATGCCAACATGCCCCATTGAAGTTATCCAACGGAGACTACTGCCGTGCAAACATAAGTAGCGTTTACCAGTGCCTGTTTAAGGAGAAATTCGACGCCCATGACGCATTAGAAGACGTTAAAGCTTTAAAAAAGATTCTGTTCAGTTCAGAACTAGCAATCGACGTCCAAACGATATTTAACGGCAGTCAGATAACAACAGCACAAGAAGCGAGAGTCGACTTGGATTATCTTGACAAAAGGCTCAAGATCTTTCAGTCGTTTGTAGGAAATCTGTACAATCCAAATGCTAAAAAAAGTCCCATAACACACAGTATGGCTCTCAAAATTGCTAGTTCCGGTTTATCTTACAAAGATCTTTGTTGTTTGTACCAAAAATTCGGCGATGCTGGCGTTGTCGGAATACTATCCAGCGTGCATTATTGTCAGCAACAGCCGAAGTGTTCGCGATCTCGTCACAAGAAACCAAGGGTAACAAACCGCAAAAGGATTCTCAAAAACATTTTAAGATATTTTCAAAAAAACGTTGGAGCAAAAGTAGCCGATCAATAACAAAAATTCGTCCAAAAATCAATATTCGACCAACGGTAAGAAATTCCTTCTGTTTCCTTTCGATTGCGTGTTTTCTTGTGTCGCGTGAAAATTGTGCCTGCGAACACATGTACACGCATGTCATTTCATTGATCTTGCAAAGGTCGCAAAACGTTGACCGCGGGGAATGTGGGCTTAAATATTGCGGAAACGAGTTCGGTAAGGTACCCTGAAAATTTGCATACAAATAGATATATGTACCCATAGTAAAATAGCGTAATTAAAAAAAAATCTAACATGAGCATTTTTTTAAAGTTACTTTTTAATTTCGGAAATTTGGCATGTTAGATTTTTTTCTAACTTTCACACAAGATTCCTTAGAGTATATACAAACAATAAACAAAATAAAAAATGGGGGTCACCGACCTCATTTTTGAGATAAACGCTCATATTTCCCAAATTTCCCGATGTTTGCGTGCGTATTGTTCCCATAGCAACGGGGCAAACTAGCATATTAATATATATATTTAATTAGGTCGATATTCAACTTTTGTTATGGAGGTGGTGTGGTTCTCTAATCGGCAGAAAAAACAAAATTTTACGTTATTCGTCTTTTGCATGAAAAGTGTATCGAGCCACCTTAATCCAATCACAAGTGTATGAGTAAAAACTGTGAAAAAAATGTCATACCTGCAATAACCTCAGAGTTTTATCATAATACATGTTGCTCTTATTTTAATCACCTGCCCTTTACAGCATCCCTAATCCCCCCCTGATACAATATAAAGTTTGTAAAATATGGTTTTTGTATTGTCTAAATCAACCCCAGTGTCTTCTTCAAATTGAGTGTATATACTAATTGTAATCGAAGCGCAAATTCAGTCAATTTCAGAGCCTCATTCAAATAAGGCCAGGTTACATAACCGGGCGATTAACTCAGGCGCCGAGGCGTGCAATTTTGAGCTTATTTTAAGGAGAGCTCCAAAGAACCTTGTGAAAGCATCGTTTTGTGGTTTTTTAAATATAAAACATTATGAAGCTTGAAATATAAATTATGGAATTTAATAGTTGTTGTGGAAAACACAAGAAAAATGACAACGATCGCCTGACTTCGATTATAAGTGACATAGCATCCATAACAAAAACAGGTCATAATCGTTGAAAACGAAATAGAGAAATAGAAATTCAGAGAAACGAAACTGGGGGTTGAAGTTTTCCAAACCAAAGGTCACTATCACAGTCAAGCTGGGCAAGAGGTAAAGTATATCACTGCTGCCAGAACTTGGTCTTAAATTGATGTATTATATCTTTTTTTGTGGTCAATAGACCTTTCCGATTATTACATCACAACTAACACTGTTTTTAACTTAGGACCACTTTAAATGGAATAGATTTCAAGTTGTTTCTCACAGGTTATGGAGAGAGAGAAGCAGAACATCCTTCAACACAATCATAAAAAAGAATTTTGGATTTTGCCATTAAAAAGGTTAACATACCTATCTGCTAATGTCTCCTATTACCCCATTAACTAGCAATGTGAATAAATGTGCCCTGATCAAGTATTTACTATAACCTGTCTAATGCCAGACGATTTTACTCATCAGTGGTAGAGTACTGCCAGCAAATGGGTTGAAGGTTGGTTTTAAAAGCAAATCCTGTGTATTGCATAAAAAATCTAAGTATCCACTCATGTGACTGTTAGCCTTATGCATGTGGCATAGCCTCTAAAATTATCATCAGAAATTATAGTATTACTGTACTGTATGTTAGGGACTAAAATGCTGATGCCCATGGTACATTATAAATTCCCAGACAATTGGTACCATATAATGTAAAATGTACAATTAAATACAGTATTTTATGCTTTTTACAATCTTACTAACTATTAAGGGTCACATGAGCTAACATGCATGCAAAAATTCACCATATTGATTAAGTGTTTAATTTTGGTTGTTGATAGCTTTACAATATTAATTTGAAATATTATTGTATTGCTAGAAAGAGCCTGTCCTCTTACTCATCCACTTTTCTGTCCAATTTGCCACCAGGCTACCACCAAGGACACAAATGGCTTAAGTGGTATATATTACATGTCAAGGTCTGTTACATGATTCTTTCCATTTTAAGTTGATGGACTTGCTGCATGTATATCATTCTTCTTCAATATTCACAGCTGTATTAATTGTAATGTTGTAATACTGCCTTTGCCTCAAATTGTTCCACAAATTGTGTTGTGAAAAACCTCTTGACTTTTACTGTACACTATTTCAATCTTCAAATTGTACTAGACAGTGATAGGTGTTAAACCAACTGGAGTTACAGAATTGACTGTTGGAAACTCCAAGTTTTGTCAAATCTAAAGTTGTTAATGCACTCTGTCTAGTCACCTTTATTGTATGTGGATTTTTTTCTTCTGTAGGGCGATATGATTTATATATATATGAATTAAATTCCTTAATTGTAGAATGTATTGAAAGACACGCACCTCTAAGACGAACCAAGATCACAAGACCCCCAGCACCATGGCTCAAAGAACCTACCATCAAGATCTACAGGAGCAAAGAAACATTCTCCAAGCCAGTGCTCGAAGAAGTAAGGATGCCCAAGCGTGGGAACTATTTCGTTCAGCTCGCAACCGCCTCAAAGCCTTAATTAAAACTACTAAAAAGAAATTCACGCAAAAAATGCTTTCATCTAAGAAACCAAAGGAAGTATGGAAAGTAATACATTGTATCTTGCATCCAGAGCCGCGTAGGATTACCATTCATCCTGACAAACTTAATTCTCATTTTACTTCAACGGCTGAACGTACAATTAGTACTAACGTCAATGATAACAACAGCTACGACAGTATAAGAAACATGTTTGATTCGCTTCCTCCAGATCACGATAATGGCTTCCATATAAATTCTGTCACACTGGGCAAAGTTGTAAATGAAATACGTTGTTTACGAAGAGACTGTTCCACAGGACCAGATCACATTCCAGCAAAAATGATCAAAATTGTGGCCCAATATTTGGGTTCTCCATTAACCGATATCATTAACACCTGTATCGCGAACCGAAGCTTTCCGTCTGCGTGGAAGATTGCGCATATTTGCATGACTTGCGGCCTATATCAATCTTGCCAGTACTGTCAAAAGTATATGAACACCTAATCTTTCGCCAGCTTTCCAAATTCATCGATGGTGGCAAATTGCTGAGTAGCACCATCTCTGCGTATCGAAAGGGCCAATCCACCACAACTGTCATGCAAGCCATACGAGATGATATCAGGAAAGCAATGAGTCGTGGAGAAATCATGATGATGATCTTCGCTGATTTCTTGAAAGCTTTCATTGAGATCCGGTTTCAAAAATCTCATCTCGAAAATGAGCAAACTGGGCTTATGCAAGGATTTCCTCACATGGACACTAAATTATGTCTCACAACGTAAACAGTATGTTCAGATTGATGGTATTAGATCAAATACAACAAATGTTAATTTCGGCGTACCACAAGGATCAATATTGGGGCCGGTTCTATTTAATATATATGTTGCTGATCTTCAAGAAATTATCGACGCCAAAAGCCATCAATACACCAACGACACAACAATCTATGAGCATGCCAAGGTCAAAGATATTCATAGATGCAGAGAAACCATATCTAATTCAATGAAAAAACTCAACGACTGGTAAAATAATAGTAGCCTTGCCTTAACCATAAGAAGACGAAAGCAATGCTTTTCTCAACTCAGCAAATGTCAAGAGTTCACCAATTGGAAAAATATGAACCTAGAATATTCATCAACGAACACAAACTAGAGCGCATAAAGTCATGCAAGTTGCTTGGTGTTCATTTCAGCGAACACCTAAAATGGGACAACCATATCCGTCACATAACATCCACCTGTTATGGCACCTTGCAAATATTAAGGAAACTTAAACATCTAGCTTCATATTACCTTAGAAAGCAGTTGCTGAAACGCTGGTATTATTCAATATGGATTATGCTGATGGCGTATTCTATCCACTTCCACAGTTTTTATCAAGGCGCTTACAGAAAGTTCAATTTGCAACTGCTAGTTTTGTCTTGGGTCGATATGTTAAAGATCAAAAGGATATCCTGGAAGTTGGATGGCTTCCAGTCAACAAAAGAAGAGAACTCAACATCTTGAAATCGAGTTTCAAAGCCATGTACTTCCCAGAGTGGCCAGAGTATTTAAAACTAGAACGACAAACTTGCGTTCGAGAACTGCGTTCAACTAATGCAGTTCAATTAGTTGTGCCAAAAGAAACTGGAACGTTTCAACATAGCGCTGCAAAACTTTTTAATTCCTTACCTGAGAACATCAGGAATTGTACTAACTACAAAGTATTTTTAAAATTACCTAAAGAACTTCTATTCGAAAGAGCATGCCAAAACTAGTGTTTGAATCTGAACATTAACTCTATTCAATTTAGTATTTTAATGTTATTGTACATAGTTATAGAATATAGTATTTAATTAGAATTTTAACAGGGAAGAGCCATATGAATGGAACTGTTGAATAAATCGTTCTTATTGTTGTTGTTGTTATTGTTGTTGTTAATATAGTATTTAATTAGTATTCTAACAGGGAAGAGCCATATGAATGGAACTGTTGAATAAATCGTTATTATTATCATTGTTGTTGTTGTTGTTGTTGTTTTGAAGGTGAAAACTGTCGGCATTCCGGGGGGTCACGGGGGGTGTCTAATCTGGGAAACATACTGCATTTCCGAGGTTCTGAATATTCTTACATCGAGGGGGTTGTGAAAAATGTGGACATTCAATAGCAATAAGGTAAAATAGCCAAATACATAGGAATGCGTGAAATTCTGACAAGTTTATTGTATAGCGATTTGCGCTCTATTATACTAAAATGTATAATCCACCTTTCCTAAGATCGCTCCGAAAATTTAATGACATTCATCATAGAATAGGAACGAATCCAAACAATATAAACTTTTTTAAATTGTATGATACAAGCATACAAATAGATAAAGTTTGTCGCCAATATTTTTAATAACATCAATCTCATTAATTACAAGCATATTATGTAATGTAACCCTAAACATAACTCAACATAACATTCAAAAATTTGATATTATAAGTTCATTTTGTCCAAGGAATCTTTGCCCTAAATGCTGTTTAGACTACTCTACTAGGACATTAATAATTTTGTTGTCTGTAATGTCATAAGTTACATTAATGTTCTTACTTTCCAACAAAACTTGAGTTAATGTATCTTTATTAAGATCATCATGCCATTCCAAGCCATTGGAATGGAATATTTTCTCCAAATGCTGATGGAAAACAACAACATTTAATTGCTCCTTTGTGGCTACATTTTGCACAAACAACCTTGCATACCATTGCTTGCTACTGCCCCTGAACCTTTGCTTCATATTGCAAGTTGCACATTTTAGTAAAGTGCCAACTGGTACAGCTTTTTTCCCACAAGCACTGCAAATGTGGTAAGTAGAAATACTTTTGACGCCAATGATTGTGATTTCGATCTCCTTTGTGTTGTCATTTCCATAACAGTGGGCTGTGGCTCAGCTAACTCTTCTTCAAAATCATCTGTCATCTTGAGGGAAAACCCTTTCTTTTGCTGTATTAACAAATAGCTCTTTTGTGTAATTATTGCGTTTCACTCCTGCACACAATTATTGCGTTTCGCCTGCACACAATCTACTCACTCCTCCCAAAAAGTTGCACTTATCGAACCTGTTGGGTCAACAAGGGTGGCTGTTGATTTTTTCAACACTTTATTTTCCATTTTAACAGTTTTAGGACCTGAAATATTATTGACAGTGGCTCTAAGTGTAACCAACTGCTATGGCACAGTTGTATGTAGTGATTCAACAGTTAGAACCTCACTATCAATTGAATCTTTTAATGTGAATGGTAAATTTTCATTGAGAAAACTTATGGAGCTTTTGTTCTTAATTACTATATTGCCAAACTTCTCATTGTAATCGAAATGTTGAAGTTTAATAGGGCTCTTTTTTTTGCATAGTTGAACATAAAGGTCTATTTTTGGGTGTCGAAAAACAGATTGCCTTAACAAGTGCATTTGTCCCAGTTTGAAGCTGGCAAGTTGTGTATTTGATCTTTCCTGAACTCATAACTGGTGTAACGCTATGAACGTAGCATAGAAGCTCCTCATCTAAAATGCCAAATTAAAAAAACTTTATCAATATTTCAATCAATATCCTTTTAAACCTGAAAACATTGGTCACCTTCTCAGAGACAAAGATTTTCTGGGAGTATAATCGCCATGTCTTTCAGATAATTTCGACCATTATATTTCGGTTGTAAAAATCAGTGGGGTAAGCAAATTCCTATGTTATGACTTCAAGGGGGCAAACCTACTTTGGGAAATATCAGCTGGGTTTGCTGGTGCTGCTTTTTTATTCTCCAAATCTACACAAAATGAAACCAATAAAAATTGTAAATACTAAGTATTGTGTATTAATTAATAACTCATAACTTGTATACTTCTGTTATATACATCAAAACGGACAAAATTCCTATAGATGTGTGTGGGGAGCGGGGGAGAATAAATCACCATGTAGTCACTTCCAAAAGAGAAACATTAAACCTACTTTGAAAACTATCCGCTGGGCCTTGGCCCTCCTCCAAGTCTTTAGGCATCACAACTGCAAAGAATGCAATCAATCATTAAAGCTTTTAAGTAACTATATTAAAATAGTGTACCACTATAATACACTAACATAAGTTAATAACAAATATTCAACCAACTTATTTATTTATTTTAATGGCAACATAAACTCAACGTTAAGAATTATTAGGAATCCTTTACCTGAAATGATATTTTAAAAATTTAAATCTACGGAATAAGTATCAGATGCCAAAGTTAAAAAAAAATCATGCCAAGTTTAAAAAAATTCACTAACATTTTCAAATATAAAGTGATCAAAATATTAGACTTTCTGTTTCAGTCAGGGCTTTCAGTAATTCAGTTCAGTGGTTGCTTGGGAAATGGAATATTTTCCACATGGTTTTTCAGTGTTGTAATTGGCTTATTTTTAGCCAATAATAGAACTGTCGCTCTGAAAAAAATTTCTCTAGGTTTTGGAAAATCAGCAAGCTTCCACAGGAAATAATTTCTAATGGAAACACAGAGACGAAATCAGACAATGTTCATTGTTCAATCGAGTTTACAATGCAAAATTCATCGGCTATATTGAAATTTAGTAAATTAAAATGTCTTTATCAGTTCGTGGTCATTTTACGCTGTTCGTGGCCGATTTACTGACGAGTCTCGAGGTACGCAATGTGCTTTCATGACCTTAACGGCGCTGCTAACAGCTTAAAGTATACCAATGACTGAGTGGAACTCGTCTACGATAGACCATGTACTTCTACAAGGAAACGAGATGTATCTGAATGCTTTAGATAATTGTCTTATACCATCTGAAGAGTATTTGTTAGTAGAACACTTACCAACAGTTGTCAATTTTTCCCCCATTGCCGGCGAAAAAATTAATTTGTGCAGCGTGGCACAGTCCATTGAGGCAGAAAATATAGATAATGAACTACCCATTGTGGTGGAGCCCATTGAGGCACCAATAGACATTGATCCACCCATTGTGGTGGAGCCCATTGAGGCACAAATAGACATTGATCCACCCATTGTGGTGGAGCCCGTTGAGGCACTAATAAACATTAATTCACCCATTGTGGTGGAGCCTGTTGAGGCACTAATAAACATTGATTCACCAATTGAGATGGAGCCTGTTGAGCAACCAATAAACATCAATTTACCAATAGTGGTGGGCCTGCTGAGGCTCTAAAAGAGAATGATCTACCCATTGCGGTAGAGCCAAATGAGAGCCAAATTTGGATAATAAATTATGGAAATTACTGTCAAGGTTTGGGGTTATTAATCAATGTGAAACTGAACCTCCATATGATACTATTTATGCAGCCTTGCTGAATACTTTTACGAATACTAACTATGTTATTTTAGTATTAGAAGGTTATATGATGGCCCTAATAAAGCATTCAGATTCACTCTATCTATTTGATTCACATGCCAGAAACACAAATGGCTTTCCTGATCCTAATGGGACAGCTGTTGTCATGAAATTTGAAAACATTGAACATTTACAGCAACATGTATCTTCTTTGTCAAGGGAATTAAAAACAAACTTATTTGAAACTGTCCCTGTTCAAATCCACATGAGCCAATGTACAAAAACTAGGCGTCAAAAGGATAGAGAATATCGCAGACAAAGATGACTAGAGGAATCACATAGTCATGGTAAACAAAGCTTACTGGAAAAAGCTAGAGAGTGCAAGAAGAGAAAGCAAATGCTAGAAACTGATAGTGAGAGACTAAATAGACTAGAGAAAGCAAAAATATATATAAAAGAACATAGAAGAAATAATGCTTCTAATAATAATAAAGAAATGCCACAGTTTGCAGAAACAAGTCAACAGGAGTATTTACAAAACTTTGACTTAATAAGACATGGCAGTATTGAAAATCAACTTGGGCAAACACTAACATTAAAAAATTTTATAAGTCTATTCAGTTCTCAATTGTAAAATGTACAATTTGTCATGAGGCATGGCCACTGAAATCTAAACCAAAGACACCTAATTATGTCTGTTCAAGATACTCAAGAGATATAAGATCTCCAAAAAAGTTTTCACATGAAAACTTAATGATTCCTTCTTGTGTTCTCTCTGAATTACAAAATTTAACTCAGATTAAGCAAATGTTAATTGCTTGTGCATTGCATATCATGAGAGTGTATATCAAACCTGGTGGTCAACGAGGTTATTCAGGACATTGTATTAACTTACCACCAAATGTTACAGAGCTAGCAAAATCTTTGCCAAGATACCCAAAAGACTTGGCCGTTATTATTGTTAAAGTTAAAGGCAGAGACAACACATTTAAAGATGTCACAGTACAAAAGCAAAAAGTATACGATGCTTTACTTTGGCTTATCCATAATAATCTGCATTACTCTGAGTTAACAATTAATGAAGATGCATTAAATTCATTGCCTGAGAATGGAATACCATTAGACCTAATGACTATTGAGACTGATGATAGTATAGTCTCAGAGGTTAATGTTTCTCCTGACTCAGGGCCACCTACTGATAACCCATCAGAGGATATTGTTTATAATGACTCTACTGAAATGAGTAGTTTTTTACCTATTGGTGAGCAACAGCAACAGGAAATTAAAGCTGTGAGAAATCAGCTTTCTGAAAATGAGCCAATTGAATGGCCCTCGGTTGAAAATGAACCACTTAATGAGTATCAGTTTTCACATTTGGCAACCATGGCTTTCCCAACATTATTTCCTGATGGAAAAGGTGATCCTACCAATGAAGGACTCTTCAGAGATGTTCCTCTTCAG